GGGAGCCGCCGTACCTGTCAAGGGGGTGCAGGCGGGAAGGGTGAGCGGCGGCAAGCTGTGCGCGGCACTGTGCCTTATATCGACCACATTCGTGTTGTCAGGCTGCAAGCAAGGCTACAAAAACACTTGCCGCAGGGCATGGCGGGCCCCCATTGGCCGCCCTGATCCTTTTACTCACAGGCCAGTCGCGTCGCCGATGGCAGTGGCGCGAGAGCCGCCGCCCACGTAGTATGCGCTCGGCGCCGCCACGGCCACCGCCGCGCCCCCCGAGCCGTACGTGGACGCGGCCGCTATGTTGCCGGTGGAGACGATGGGCAGCTCGCCCAGGCCCGACTGCAGGGCCCCGCCATTCCCTGCTCCACCGGTGGCGACGCGGCCAGTAGGGCCGGGCAGCAGGCTGCCGGCGGAGGTGACGCGGCCAGACTGCACGAAGACGCCTGTGGGAGGGGCGCGGATGGGGGCCGTAAGCAGGTGCACTGCAGAGCAAACGCCTCCGCTTTTGTGACAGCCGCGTGTTTAAAAAAATGCGAGGTCCTGCGACACCGCCAGACCTTCTGGTGCGGGGCCCTCTGCGGGGGACGCACGAGCACGCAGGCGGGCCCGCCCACGCACCTGCGCTGTTGGGGTTGGCGAGCGCGGCCGCCTGGCCGCCGTTGGAGCCGACTGTCGTCGCCAGCGTCGGCGCGTAGGCAGGGTTCTGCCGCACAACCTCGGACTGGACGATCTGGCGCAGCAGGCGCGCCGCGTCGCTGCCACCTGCAAGACCATGCGATGTTGGGATTAGTTGAGTTGTGAGTTGAACACCAGCTTCGCTTGCAGCACTGCCAGGGCCGCCTTGTTGGGGGCAAAGGGGCAAGCGCTTCTCCTGGAGAAGCCCACTGCGCCAACTGTGCTGCTGCTTTAGGACTCACAAGCAAATTAGATACAGCGGTGTGCGGTGCCAGGCAGGAGCAGGCAGGTAAGCTGGTGCAGTTCAGGCAGGGGTCTCGCAGCGACGCAAGGTCGCCACGCACCTGTGACCGCCAGGAGCACCAGCACGAGCAGCAAGCGCTGCATGCCTTGCATATGCCCCGTTCTAGTGTGGTGAGTCGTCCTCAGAGTGGACACTCTTGTTGGGTGGGCTGGAGGAAGGCCACTGCCCTTGGTTTGGTGACCCTCTCCGATGTTGGCTAGATCTGCAGCGTTGCGCAGAAGAGGATTGATGTGGAGATTTAGCAGACAGCAGGTGAGAATGGGCCATCAGATAGGCGCACGCAGCCCTGTCATGTTTTACACGCCGGCCCAACCAGCGGCGCCTGTTGTCGGCGGTTCATCAACCATCGGCACTGTGCAGCAACGCGGGCGCCCGCAGTGGGTGCGCAGCCTAGTACGTTTATAAGGCAGCACGCTGCGCCCAACCGGCTACCATGGAACCATCTTCGTGCTGGCAAGGCTTCCGCCCCGGCCAACTCACCGGTTGTTGTTGAAGCGTGCCTCGTGCGGGATGTTGTGATAGCACAAGCAGTTGGTACGATACGGTTACTAGGTGTGTGGCTTATTTATACTAGACGCTTGTTTTCAAAAAACAGTCTGCGGGCCGCAAAGACGGGTCGCTTGAGAAGCCGGCCGAGCTAGCTAGGGTCGAATGACGACGGGCACTGGATCGGTGTATGACACTTGAATCGCGAGTCGACGCTGTTGTTGATGAATGGCAATCACCTGCTTTGAACCTTTTTTAGGGCCCCGGTGGCTTTGATGTGCTGATGGTCCAGCACAGCTGCACGGCAGCAGCACGAGGGGTCGGGCACCAGAGTGGTTGTGGTGTGTCGGGGGTGATTCGGGGTGAGGAGGCCGCCGAAAGCCTCAAATTGTGCATAATTGTCCACTTTTGACGACCCATAGCTCAATGGTGCGCGCAGGACACCCGGACACCCGCAACCACCGAACGATGCGGGCGTTTGCCGCGCTGAAAGCACGCGCGACCGTCCAACTCGGTGTTAGTTTCTCTCAGAAATTATCAATTCGCAAACTGGAGTGGGAGACCCTCACTGTGGCTGTGGGGTCAGAACAAGTGTGACCTGCAAGCAGCTGGCATGTGGTACTGTGCAGGTGCCACCTTAACATACAGGCAACAAGGGTAACATACTGTCCCCCATATCACAGCACTCTTTTCTTGTGGTGCAAGCCCACTTGTGCATCAGATGTGCACAGCGCACCATCGTCCCGGCTGGTGCTTGTGGGGGTCTGGGGGAGGGTCGGGCGGATGGGCGGACGATTTGGATTGCTGCGTGGCAGCATCAGGGCAGCACAGCATGCACAACTTATTTTCAATAAGAGGGCAAAGGCGGAGCTCAGGAGTTGACAGAGTTGGTCAGCGGCGCAATCTGAAGGGGCGTGAGCCCATCTTCTGCTACCCGCTGGTCTACATTCGCCCCCTTGGCAGTAGCAGCCTTCACGCGCCATGGGCGACCTTGCCCCGGGTGACACCCTGCTGTGGCCCGAACTCAATTTCCTGTGCCGCTGTGATCACGTCGCTGTCGCGCTCAGGTGAATTGTATTGAAAGTATCGATGGAAAGCTTTTGGGCAGGGGGACCCCACTCGCTTGCTCTGTGCACTCGGCTGCTTGTCGCACACTTGTTCCTGTACGGTGATTCCCCGGTGAGACGGTGACGGCGGACAACGACAAGGTAGGTGAGGGATAGTTCACTCATGCCCTGGGAAGGAGATGACGAAGATACGTGATGCGGCATGAATCAGGACGCTGCAGTCTTGGGGTGAGTGGGGCCGTGGGCAGGGCGGCATCAAGGGTATGCAGTGGGGCCTCCAGGGCGCTGCGACATTGCAAGTGCACATCACGCTGCTGTGGTGTGAGCTCACACATGCATCAGATGTGCACAGCGCACCATCGTCCCTGGCTAAAGCGGACTGATTGCTTGAGTCACCCCGCCAATGATGAGTCACCCCAACCTGGTCACGCCGCCGCCTGCGACAAGCTGATCGTTACAGCTGTTAACACGAGAGCTATCGCGGCACCTTTTGCAGCAAAAAATGCGCTCAATGTGTTGACGCGTGTGTGCTACCATAGAGATCACACCGCACCCACTCAGCTCAGCATTCGCAGCAGTCATCTTCAAGGTTGCTGAAGACATGTCTGACACGCAGCAGCAGGACAGCGCCAAGGAAACTAGCCGCAAGCATCCCCCCATCGTGTGCTACAATGTTGCGGAGCTGCCGCAGGCAAGCGTGGCTTCAACAGTATCAAGTCATAAAGTATCAGAAATGACCTGTCCTCAAAGCTGGGAATACCGCTGCCCGGCAGTGTCACATGGGCCAGCTTCATCACATGGGCCCCACCTGATCGGCCTCACACTGCGCGCCTTGCGCCCTTTTCAAGTGAGCCGCCCCCGGCGTGGCGCCTGCAGGTCGACCGAGCCCTGCTGCAGCGCCTGGCGGATGGCAAGCACGAGGTGGTGCACGAGCTGACCATCCCGCCGCGCGACGGGCGCGCATGGGAGGTCAAGGCCGGGCAGCTGTGGCGCATCACGTGCACCGAGGGGCCCCAGGTGCACAGCCCTTGCATCGTGGTCTTTATACATCATGGACACACTCGCACATCCCTGAAAATTCACTGGGACCGCCCAGCAGGCAACCATGCGGCCCGCTCCTCGCGTTGCAGCGGCCCAGCCCTAAATGCCTGCGAAGGACGGGGCCACCCGGCACTTGCGCTGCCACCCGCCCAGGTTGAACTGCGCTTCATACCGGCGAGCCCGGTCATACAATGCAACGCAACGCCCTCCGCTCAGGTGGCGGACATGAACGTGTGGGCGCTGCACAACCCCAAAAGGGAGCGCTTCTACACCAGCAAGACGCGGCAGCTGCACGCGTCGCACCTGACCGTGGGGGACAGGCTGTGGAGCGGCTTCCCGTACCTCCGGCCGCTGGCGACCATTACGGCGGACACCATCGCATACGGCATCGACGGCGACGGCGCGGGCGTGCATGACGTCATCGGCAGCAGGTGGGCGCGCCCACGTCCGGCCCCATGGTCGTGGCCGTGAAGGAAGGGTCGGCCGCCGCCTTGGAGATGCTGACCGGGCGGTCCGCTGCTCGACTGTTGGGATGCTGCCCCACACATGGCGCCGCGGCGCCGCCCTGAGAAGCTCCGTTTGGACACAGCCAGCGCAGCCAGCACCATGGGCTGAGACGCAGTCTGAAGCTGGTATGCCATGTGCGCACTGAACCACCTCGTGGCCCCGGCCCAGCCATCGCCTGATCCCTCCTCGCCCACCCCAGGCGCACACACTATGACCTGCTGGCCGCCCCGCTCTTGCATGCCAACCTCCGATGCTGTGTCACCCCGTTCCTGCACCCCTCCAGGTGCGACCCCTACACCAACTGGCTGCTGACCGGCGCCGACATGAACGTGTGCTGCCACAGCAACCTCACGCGCGCGGTGGCGGGCTGCGGCCTGGGGGAGGAGGACGTCCACGACGTGCTCAACGTGTTCATGGTGGGCGCTGCTAATTTGTGGGTGATGTATTTATGTGCATGTGATGATACATGGGTGCGGCCGGCTGGGCGCGGCCGGCTGGATGTTTCCGGGTGGGTGCGGCCGGCTGGGTGCAGCCGGCTGATGCGGCCAACTGGGTGCGGGCAGGTGGGCCAAACCAGGCGCCTGAGGGCGCTGCTAGTTTGGGCGGTGGTGCTCGGATTGGCACCGGTGTGGCCAGCCGCTTCGTGTCGGCTGTGCTGAGGAGCCGCCTAAGGGAGGCACGTGTTGCGGCAGGCTTGAGCCTCAGCTTAATTACGCATGCCTCCACATCCGTGCGCATGCATGAGGCCTCCCTCGTGTGCATGCATGAGGCCTCCCTCGCCAACTTGGCGAGGTTGAACCGGATTGCGTGCGGGCGGCCCTCTCGCAAAATTTTCAAACACCCCTGGCCTCCTGTTCCCGCCCAAAACAGTGCACTGGATTCACGCGGGACACCAATCAGTACTTCACAAAGCCCAGCCCGGTGAGAGCCGCGGAGGGAGGAGGCTCAGCACCCTCAGAGTGCCTGAGCAGGGAAGAGAGGTCCCCGCGTGCTCGGGGGTACTGGAGAGCGGTGGGCTTAGCTTGCTTTGGTGCGCAGGTGGCGAAACCCGCACGCGGTGTTGCGCCCCTGTTGCGAGCGTGCAGGTACGCACCTGCACGCGGTGATCGTGCACAGCCGTCGGCCACCTTGCGTAGCTGCCTTTGGACTCGACCGTCGCCACCTTGCAAGCCGCTGCCCCTGCAAAGCGCCGCCTCGTCACCCGCGCCGGCCCTTCCCTCACCCTTGGTCCTCCCAAGGTGCGCCCTGGTGACTACATCGAATTCCTGGCGGAGACGGACGTGCTGGTGGCTGCCAGCACGTGCCCCCAGGGTGACGTCAGCGTGGCCTGCGGCACTGGCAGGGCACCGACGTGCTACCCCCTGGGTGTCCAGGTGCGGCCGCGGGCACGCGCGCGCGCGGGCCTGCAGTGACTATTGATCAAAGGGCAATGGGGCCGGCTGTTGGGAAACGGCGTCAATGGGCAAGTGGCTAAGGGTAGGAATTTCGTCGCCTACCAATGCTAGTCAGCAAGCCAGTGTGCACGTGCCTCACCTGCGCTAAGACTGAGTGTGCAGGCCTGCCTGCTGGGGCGTAAGCCAACCAGTGCACCAGCCAGATGGACGCAAACAAAGTACAGTACATCCAAATCGGCAGCCCCCGGCGCGTGTTTGATCGAGCAACCGCGCTGCCCGCCACTGCCGGCCGCGCGCCTGTGCTGGCTGCCCTCTGCAGGTCCTGCAGCCGTCTGCCGAGGCGCTGGCCGGCTGGAAGCCAACGGAGCCTGTCAAGTATGGCGGCAAGCATGGGCTGTAGATTCATCATTTGTAATACGCCATGCTCCCCCTCTTTCATATCTGTGCCAAATTCTTACACCTGCCAGCAATCCGCGGCAGAAGCACGTTGCCTGCCCCGGACTCTGAGCGGCCACAACCCCTGACCAGGCGTTGCTGATAGCCAGTCGCCTGCCAGGCACGGACTCCCAGTTGAGGCTTCCTCACGCGCATCTGTGGTGCACCCAACATCAGGACACTCTGCTCTGAGGCGTGAGAGTGCGGCGCACGTGTGGTTGCGCTTGCAGTCAACTTTCACTGCGCTGTGTACGGATCTGCAGCTGGTTCTTTTTGGGCCCACAACGGCCCGCATCATCACACGTGCACCAGGCCAGTATCAGACAGATTGGAGTGCCTTCTCACTTCTAAGACTTGTGTCTCCCACAACGGGGCCAACACATGCACCCGTGTCCTTGACCCTGTGCACTCTCTGTGCATCGTCGTCCGCCCGGTGATATGTCATTATGTTCACATGTCATGACAGAGGCCTGCATGCGACAGACACCGGGTGGCACAGCGGCCTTGGGCACGCACACAGTACACAAGCGCATGTGCTAGTCTTGTGTGATCCATGTTTTGTACCATAATTCTTGATGCCTGCAGCAACACTGCATGTCTTGAGACAGGCTTGGTGCTGGAGCAACACCAATCCTAATCCTAATCCTAATCCACCAAGCCGCCAAATTTCGGGATCGTGTCTCCATTGCAATCCGACCTAAAATATGCAAGTAACTGCACGTATCATGTGTTGCTTGCGCGGGATTCGTTGCACTTGCATGGTCGCGCTGTGGTGCAAATCAGTATGCTGCGCAGCTGGGTGACACAGTCGTACGTTGTTCACTGCAACACGCGGCAATCCAGCTGCCGGCGCATGCACAGCAGTCTTTACTTACAGTCCTCAGCGGGAATGAGAGAAAGCTGATGCGTGTCACAGCTTGTACAACCACTCACAGGGACGGCGCAGCTCTGCACAAGCAGAGGCGACCACCATCTTTGTGCTGGGGGGGATCCATACCCAGCGGGCTGAGGCAGACATACAAATGCGGGGCTTGCAGGGTACGTCAGTGCAAGGGAAGGCTTTGTACAATACATACAATCCAAGGCGTAGTACAGACAAGGCATGGCACCCGCTCAATGTGCGAGGCGGCGCCGCGCTGCTCCGCATCAACAGGATGTCCTCATTTCCCGGCGCGGCGTCTTCACCATGCCTGGGGCTGCGCGCCGAGGTCGCCCACTGCGGTTGGTAGGAGGTTCACGCCTCGGCCTCGACGGTGGCGTTGGCCTCTGGCTTGGGGTCGAGGCCGTCCACCGGGGTGAGGCGCAGGTACTCGATCTTGGAGGGAACGTCGCACACCTAGACGGGGGTGAGAGGAGCGGCAGGCAGGGTGAGGGGAGGATTCAGTTCCGAAGCTGCGCATTAGGCAGAGGCAGAGTGTGAGAGGAATGGCAGGCGCGGGATTTGCGACGTGTCCCGCCTGCGGTCCCAGGCGACACGGCGTCACAGTCTCGTGGCACGCACTGATGTGCAGCGCATGCCGCAACCACGCGGGCGCAGCATCGACGGCATCGCCCACAACCTGCCCTCGACCTCGTGGGCGCGTATGGTGGGGCGGCCCTGCACACCTTATGGTCTGGGAAGAACTTGTCGGCATCCTCCTTGGTCACGGTGGGCAGCAGGAACACCCAGCCCTGCGCAACAACGGTCAGGGTTGCACAATGGACGGTTGTGTTGGGCGGAGGTCGGAGTTGCAGCTTGTTGGGTAGGCGTCCTCGTTGGCGCACTGGCTTGCCCCTCGCGAGTCATGTTGCCCACACATGCGGCAAACACGCACATGCATGCATAGATGTACACACGCATGCCTGCACACACCCACACTCTCTCATGCAAGCACGATCCCACAGACAAGCTTCGACCCACCCACCTTCATGCCGGCCTCCTCGTGGTTGTTGGGCCAGTTGGCGGGGGTGGCGATGGACTTGTCGCTCGACAGGATCAGGGCGTCCACCACGCGCTCGATCTCGTCCTGCAGGGTTTTAGATTCGGTGGTTGAGTACGGCTGAGTGCGGTGCCGCACTGGACCGACAGCGCAGCCCGCCCGGCGGCAACAAGGTGCAAGCCACGTCGACAGCCATGCAGCAGAAGATTCGACGGCCCCTGCCCAGGAGCGCCCGATGGGAGCGGCATCAGAGTGGTCCGTAGCAACAGCTAGCAGCGAAAATCGTTCAGTGGTTGTTGGGCCAATGCTTGCACCCCCACCCAGAGCGTTGGTGCGTGCCGCGCGATGCGTAGTGAGGGCGAACAGCCGGTTCGCGGCGGCCCGGCCGGTGCTCGCAAATTTCCTACCATGTTGCGGCCGACGCTGGCGGGGTAGTTTACGGTGAGCTTCAGCTTCTTGTCCGGCCCGATGATGAACACCTGGTAATAGGCGTGTGTGCAAGTGCACAAATGAACGGGGCAGCGGCGAGCAGGGCCGGCAGGGTGGACAGCTGGTGCCTAAGGCTGCTGGCCCTTGCGGCGCCGCGGCTGCTTCTGAGGATGCAGCCCCCACCTTAGTCCTGGTTTGTAGCCCTACCAAAGGTGCTGCGCACCATGGGCGGCCCCCCACCAACCACGCCGCCCAGCGCGGCTTCTGCCTCCTGCGCTGCACCCTGCTGCTCGCCTGCCAGTGGCAAACGGTCGCGGAACAAGAGCGAGCTGCTGCCCCCCTCAAAGACTGGAATCATGATTATGTACACTGCTGCGTCCAGCCGGCCCGCCAGCCGCCGCTAGCCTGGTCCTCAGGGCCCCTCTGAGAACAGGCGCTCACCGCGCGGCAGGTGAGGGGCAGGCCACTCTTGTCCTCCAGGGCGGGGTCCAGCATGCCGTACAGGGTGGCGATCTCGCGGGTTGGGTCCGCCAGGATCGGGAAGTCAATGGTCACCTGGTATGACGCCACATGACATCGTGTGACGTCACCAAGCGGGAGCAGCAGGGGGGCGGTGGGCGCCGTTCATTAGGGGTGGGGGCTGATGATGAAGGGTGGTGGCACGTCGAGAGAAGCCGTTATGGCACGGCACGCCAGCACTGTGACTGTGGCGGAGTGCCCCGCTGTGATAGCGTCACAGACAGCGGCCACCGCGGCGGCGGCGGCGGCCACCGCGGCGGCGGGACTGCCGTTGCTGGCGCGCCAGCAGCGCACCTTGTTGGCGCAGTGCGCCACGACGTCCTTGAGCCACGTGTTGTGGTCGTCGATCTTGTCGCATGACAGCGCCGCCACCTGACGGCATCACAGATAGCAGGGCGCACGCGCGGGACTCAAGGATGGGAGGTGCAGGGCGGCCCGTGTGTGTGAGGTCAGGCGGTGCAGGGTCAGAGCTGCCGCCTGGTGAGTGCCCGGGCTGCTTGCTTTGGGGCACCACTAACACAGGGGCATCACAACGCAGCTTTTTGACCCAACCCCATCCGGTCTGTTACTACGGCCATGCCATAGTATGACGTGTCGACAAGTACATCATGGCAACAAGGTGACGTCACCTGCGTCACCAGGATAGCCTAGCAACGCGTCGTCACCGGGGTCACCAGGGTGTCAACCCCTGCGCACCTTGACGCCCTTGGCCTCGAAGTTCTTGTACTTGATGGCCATGCGGCCAATTTCAGTGGTGCAGACGGGCGTGAAGTCGGCCGGGTGGGAGAAGAGGATCGCCCACTTGCCTGCATTGGCAGGTGGGGGCCGCAGGCAGGGCGCGGAGCGAGGAATGGGCCGGCGCAAGGGGTGGGGGATGCGGTTGCTTGCAGAGGGATATCCTGGGTCTGAAGGTTTCAGGGAGGTGGTAACATTGAGATGGGGCTACTTGAACGCCGGCTACGTGGTAGAAGAGCTTGCGGCGGAGCCCCTTCTGCATGGAAAGACCCCGCCCGTCTGCCCTTGCTCCATCGCAGCCCCTCCTGTTACGAGCCCGCCCCGGCCACTCGCCGTCAATCCTGCGGCAAACAGGGGCCAAAAGGGTGAAGGGGCGTGAGATTCTAGCAGGTGCTTTGGGCGCGCGGCTGTTCGTCACTCAAGCAAAAACCATGCTTACACGATGCACGGAGGGGCACACGCCGCCACCATGTGACTGCGCCGCGCAGAAGGGACAGGACTCCTCATAAACCTCTGCAACCTGCACGGGTCAAACGCAGGTCGCGCGAAGTCAAGTTTTTAAGCGCTTGGGGAACCCGCCCACCAGTCGTGCCACTTGATGGGGCCCAGGGTGGAGTCGGCCTCGAAGTCGGGCACCACGTTGCCCAGGCGCAGCACGCCGTCGCTGCTCTTCTCAGGGTACAGCTTGGCGTAAGCCTCGCTGCCCGAGGGCACGGCCGCGGCGCACGACATTGCTGGGGAAGGAGCTGAGCCGATTTGTGTGGACGAAACGCTGCTCGCGGGTGCACAACACAGGAACCTGCTGCGGCACCAGCGGACAGCGGGCCAAAGGGGATGGGGTGTTGGCGGGGAGGGAGTAGAATCACGGGGGTCAAGATAGGTCCAGTAATGTAACAAGGGCAGCCAGCGGTTCCTAGAGATGCTGCTGGCACGGCTGAGCTGCAGGCTTGTGCATCGTCGGGGATGGGTGGCCTCGGGCGCACCTGCACCGACTGGGTGGCACCTGTCGCACACACTTATGCAGGACCAAGAAATGAATGATGCAACATACGAGGCAGCAAGGACGCTCTAGATGCGGTTGCCGTGAAAGGCTGCAAACAGCGGCCCACGAGGGGTCCACGTGCTCACCGTTAGGGACCGTCTCGTGTCAGACGCTGGGATGAATTATGACAACAGGATTCTGGTCAGTAATTTAGGTCGTTGGTAACAGAAACGTAACGCGTCAGATCACTCACCAGGCGGGTGTATGCCAGGGACACCACCGGTTTGGCAAATCTCCAGGCTCAAACAAGTATGGCGGAAGTAGCCACGCACAATGACAGTGCAGGCTGCGCTACAACTGCGCTTGGCAGTTGTATTCTGTTGCCTAGGCGGCGTCCCACGTAGAGTAGAGTAGTGTAGAGTAGAGTAGAGTAGAGTGGACCGGGCGCTGGGCACCCAGTACGTTTTAAGGACGGGCGCGGGGGTCAGGGCAACTGCCCGTTTCCCCGCTGCCCCACCGGCGTCCCACGCAGGATGCCATCCTGTGAGAAAGAGCATCCACAGCAGCCTTGGGACAAGTGCACAGGTTGATCGCAGTTGCTCTGTCCGTACCCATACTCGTGGCGATTTTTAAGGTTGTGACTTCAGGTGACAGAATGTTTTCACAAGCGTTTCAGTGCTATTGCCCATGTACAGTATATGCCTTCCTGTGGACTGTAGCCGGACCTTGAATTGATGCAGAATCGACTGCGCAAAACGTGCTTCATGCTTTGATGCAATCGCAGCACAAGAGATATCACCTGGAAAATTTATTAAGAGGCATGCAAGAGCCTTGCCAAAAAGGGGGGCTTGATGGGGCCATGGACGGCAAGTGTCCGTGAATTACTCTGCTACAGTCATTGGTTCTGTGCATGTTGTGTTGATCATCAATATCAACATGATGTCAACCTTCATGGTCTAGAGCAGCATTTGGAGTAGCAGTGACAGCAGCAGTGACAGCAGCATTTGGAGTAGCAGTGACAGCAGCATGGACAGCAGCATTGACAGCAGCAGTGACAGCAGCAGCAGCAGCAGCAGGGATGTTTGCGGCGGCTAGGACGCCCAACCGGCTCCGCCACTGTAGGGGTTGGTAAATTTGTGAATCAGGAACCCAGACTGGAGTCCGGGATGTCGGCATCACCGTTGGCGTCTTGGGGTTTCATGACTCTTGACTGAGCAGCCAGCTGTCCCCTGGACTTTCATTACCCGTAATGAAGGGTTACCCCGAGTATATGCGCTGTATGGCTATTTGTCCCAAGCTGCGAAGTATTCAGTGCTGCAAATGATTCTGTGCTGCAAGTCATTCGGTATTGCATACTGCAGGCAATCGCGTACCCCACGCAGGCGACCGCCGACGCCTACAGCCCGATAGCTGCAC